TAACGATTTCTTCCACGTTATCTCGATGAAAGTTATCCAAGATCTCTCCTAAAGGAAATCCTGTACCGCGATAGTAATATATAGTTGATCGAGAAAAAAACGACAGACTCCTCTTATTCGCTATAAATAGATCGTGGTTTTTTATAGAAACAATTTATAGAAAATTGCAAAAACGTTACGATATTTCGTGCACGAGGTAAATTTTTACTTGGATTTCTCACTCGTCCGATTAAGTTTAATCCGCCAAAAGAATCACGGCCTAATTATAAATCCGCGATAAATACGATAAATAGTAAATTTCCAATACCTTCGAAGATTCCGACGCGCGTTTACGCTTTTTGCAAATTTTCACGACGTTGGCGTTTGATATCCCGACGAAGAAACTAAAATTTCGAACGTGCAGAAACGCAAGTAAGTGGCTGTGACTCGGAAGCTAAATATAGCCACCAAAATTTTGTCATTGTTCCCGCTTCTGCTTCTTCCTGTGAAAACAGCAGCAACGCGTAAAACGGGAGGCGTTCTCGAGCCGACCGTCGAGCTTTCGAAAGTCGATTAAAGCGTCGGTGTAACGCAAGACTCCTTTCCGGGCTGTCTAATGGCACACTCTCCTTGACCGAAAAAACCAAAGGTCGTGTTTCCTTAACAACTTCGTTAGCGATCCAAATTTTCGACCAACGCGCGTCCACCATAAAAGTGTACATCGTGAAGAATAATCGCACACTGTGTGTCATTTTCGTCGAATCGTTTCGTCGTGCTTCGATATAAAACCTTTCTTCGATCGTACGTTTTCTTGAAACTCTACGCAAGTGTAAAATCGTCTGCAATTAATGATCGTTTCGTGCTCTGGCATCGTTACAGTTACTCTTATTACCATTCCCCTGTCATCTTTCGTAACGAGCTTCTCGTTCGCTAAGATAAAACGTATTACTCGAAAGAACTCTGTTACAACGATGTTATACTCTAAAAAAAACTGGAAATAAGGCACTTTCTCGAAATAACGTTAAGAAACGGGACCGATTCGGTTAGATAATTTTCTTTCGTCTCGCGTCTTCGTTCTATCAGCGTAATGGTAAAGGCCGATAAAAATAACCAAGTTCGAATTCACCGATACCAGTAACCCTTCGGTGACATCGTATCCACGTTATTATACGACTTTGCCCGTCCAAGGCAACGTTCGATAAATTAGGACGGTAAAGCGAAAACGATTTGCTCGGTACGAGGATCCCCGCACCCATAGCAGCGTTTGCAGTCACTGAAACGACAACCGCGTCGTGTCTATAAATCGCAGATCGAAAGCGAACGACATCGGTGGTTATGGAAGATCGATCGGGTCTATTCTTGTCGGGAGGGAGAGACGATCCAGTTGCCAGAAACGGGCAAACGAACGACGCCACGCCACGCCACGCCACGCCACGCGTTTCGCAATCGTTTCATCCAAGTG